TAAAATAATTGAAATTAATTGTAGCACAATATAAATTTGCATATATCACAAATGATCATCACATTTCTGATATAATCGAATTTCTATTATGCTCAATTGTGGCATTAAACAGTTTGTACCACAGCAATTATTTTGTGGCGTTATGTTCACTTTGTTCATTATGTCTGGGGGGTAATATAGATGTAAGGTTAATATAAAAATGTTTAACAAAAAAAATTTTCATTTTACATATGATATGGTGATTTAACATGTGAAGGTGATTTGCATAATATTAATAAAAATTTTTTTTATTATTATTTAGTATGACAAATTCTTGTACAAAAATAAAAAAAGGTCGAGGAAAAAAAAAAAAATAATCAATAGATATAATTTTTAAAGATTATATATATTATTTATTACATTACATTCACACAACATATTTATTATATACTACATACACACATAAAGTTTATTTTTTATTTTTTTTAAACTATATAAATCAAACCACTAACTATAAAATAAATAAATAAAAAGGATAACCTGTTGTTTAGCTTATCTTTTTTATTAATTGGATATAAATATAAAATAAATCCTTTTGGTTTTATATATATATTTCTTTTTTTTGTCTAATGTTGATTTTGTTACGATTACGACTTCTACACGGATTTTCTCCAATGACAGCATTAATAAAAGAACAGCCTACCAAAGATAACACTATTACTTATATCAACAACAGTAACAGTTATTCGTTGAAACAACAACAACAATCATATCATTGTAAACATCATCTCTCAACAAAAAATGACATTTTAACAAAGAAACTAAGGTCTAACAACAGCATTAACTTCAATAACAACAATAAAAATAATAACGAAACAAGACATTCTAAAAATAAAGAAAATATACCATTATCAAACATTTATAACGATAGTGTAAATAATAGTAACAGCAATCCACCTCAAAGACATCAACGGCAAAAAGAGCAAGAGGAGCAATATCAAAGTCGTCAATTTCATAGTCAAGAACAACAGCAACGCCAATATTATCATTACGGTCAAGAAACATCTAAAACCGATCGATATAAAAAGAAAAGAATCCCTATAATGATGCACGAAAAGAAAATGTACGTATTAATATATTATCATTATTTATACTTAATTGGTTAATAATACAATAATTATAAAACGATAATTATAAATAATATTATTGTAGTAATATTAAGGCAATGCAATGATAAAAACTAATTAATTTATTCCTGTACTCTTTACTAATTTTATGTTTCAATACAGTAATTCGAGTTATACAAAAACAACGTTTCTAATTCATTTATCAATTATAATTCAACATCTTTACACATTATACATAACACCTACTAGAACGATTTCATCGTTCACTCAATTAGTTTACATTGCCAGTACATGTTTTCACATTATTACATTATTATCAAATATTTTTAAAAAATTCAAAATTGAAAAGTTATTTGTAATTTATGGAACTTGGATAATATGGTCGGGATGGATAATATGTTTACTAATTACGAAATCTGATTTTAAAAATCACAACAATAGTAATATTAAATCGTCGTCGTCGTCACCATCAACATCTTTAGCAAATAATTCATTTTTAATGTTAAATTACAATTATTATCTATTAACATCTACACCAATATATGTTTCACCATTTCTTATGCATGGTAAATGGTTATCAACATATTTACCAATGATGTCTTTTATATTAATAATGACAATTAGAAGAAATCATTGGGGAATAATAATATGGGAATATTTAGTGTTGTTACAAGATTCTATATTATCTTTGATTTATTATCGTATCTGGAGCGTTGTTTGTCTAGGTCCAGGATGGATCCTTACTTGGGAAATATTTAAGTGTTTATTTCATCTAACTTCCACATCATCGTTATCGTCATCATCATTAATTCATTCATCATTACCTTCATCATCATCCTCATCTTCCTTTTCGTCATCCTTCTCATCATCAATATCATCAACACTAATACCATTCATATTAAACATTAATAATAATATTAACAACTTTTACAACAATTACAATAACAACAATAACAACAATTATAATGAATTTCTCTTTTATCAAACTGATATACCCAAATTTCCTGGTTTCATCTGTACTTTAATAGTTAGTATTATTGCCGGTGTTTTGATGATTTGTTGGTGGAGTTTTTGGACTTTTCAGATTCAAGGTGTCCTATGGAAAAAAGAACTTGAGGAAGGTGTCGTTGTTTGGTCTTCTGATGGTAGAATAATGAAAGCTAACGGAATCATTCGTAATTGAATGTTTAAAAAAAGACAATCGGACTATTAGTTTTATTTTATAATTATTATAATTATAATTATTTTATTTATTAAAAATGAATTTAAAACGAACAATTTTTCAAAAAAAAAACAAAAATTTTAATCGAAAAAATAAAAAAATCTATATTGTTATGTATATATAGTTATATTCAAATTGATTTGTGCGTGCTTTACATATATATATTATTATACAAGTATCTATTCCAGACTGTGTCACATCATGTCAAACTTTGGAAGTTTTAAATTCAGGGATCTTCAAACTACGTATGACCAAGATGTTCCAGGCGGCAAAGTTCCTTATAAGAATTCTACCTGTTTTCCTTTCATACAAACATTAAAAACATTGCAATTAAAAAGCAGTGTTGAAATTTCGTCGTGTATAGTACAAATTTAGAAATTATCTACTAAAATGTAACACTGGGGTGTGCGACATTCTAAGAAAATCAAACTAATTAATGTCATATATTGATTGGTTATATGTGATTTTTTTTGTGATCTGCATATCACATACAGGCAGGGCGCAAAATGCCAATTGAAGCAATAAATTTTTACCGGTCACGAAAAAAAACGGAAATGGTGTAACGTATTTTTTTTTTAAATGATTATGTATATATAAAATTTAAAAATGAGTTTATTCGAATATGGATTTAGAAGTAGCTCAAGAGCTCAAGATATGTTCTATAAATATCAATTCTCCTTTCTTTGTATAAAGTAAAAAATTATTATTTTGATATTTGTAGTTTACAAATAAACAATTTATTAAATCCGGAAGAAAATTCTAATAATACTACTTTTGATGCTGAGCTTGCTGAATTGAATTGTGAAAATGAAAACGAAAATCGATTAAATCAATTGAATAAAAAAATAAAAATCAATAGTTTCAAACAAAAATGGTTATCTGAATATAAATGGCTTCATTATGACCATATCCATAAACGAATGTTTTGTACAATTTGTATTCAGCATAAAAGAACAAATCAATTTGCCCAAGAAGGTTTGTAATAAAATTTCTAATATTTAATATATAATATTATTAAAATTTTGTCATTCAATTAGGTTCAAAAAATATAAATAGAAAATCAGCAATAAAATGTCACAAGGATTCACAAGATCACAAAGAAGCAGAAAAATTAGAACTTTCCAAACTTGCAACAGAAAGATTAGTAGAACAATTAAATGACAAATTTATTAATGAAAGTGATATACATATTATAAGCATAATGAAGATTGTTTATTACATTGCACAAAACCATATTCCTATGAAAAAATTACCATCTTTAGTTCAACTTGCAAAAGAATTGCATACATCTGATAAATCACTTTCATATAGTAATGAAATGACATGTTAGCTGCTTTATCAGAAGTTATCTCAGAAAAAATATGGGATGAATTGTCAGAAGTAGAATTTTTTGGAGTTATAATAGATGAATTCATTGATATAACTACTACAAAACATTTAAATGTTTATATTACTTATGTGGTATTATTCAAACCAAATTTTTGCAATTAAGTTGTGGGGGGATGCTGATACAATTAGTTCATTATTGATAAATTTATTTAAAAAAAAAGGTAAATTTTTGTTAAATTTTTATGTATAAACATACACTATATACATTAATAATATATTTTTTTTAATTTAGACATTTTGAAAAAACTCATTTCTTTTGCTTCAGATGAAGCAGCAGTAATGATGGGCAATAAAAAGGTGTAACAATGCAATTAAAGCAATTGTGTCCATTCCTTGTAGTAAATCATTGTGTTGCCCATTGGTTGTCATTAGCTTTCAAAAGAAATTATTTTTTATAATCAGGCTGAAGAAATGATGAAAAGGATTTACAAATATTTCAAAAGTTCATCTACATGAAAAAATAGCCTCAATCTTTAACAAAAATTACTTAATATTCCTTGTATTAACATTCTGAAACTTCATGACATTTGTTGGTTAGCTTGGTATGATGCTGTAAAAAAATGTACGTGAATCCTTACCAGCACTATCATTCTATTTAAAGAATCTGAATCTGAAGTTGGTCAAAGATTATATAATGATCTTTGAAGATGGAAGAGCCCAACCCAGTTCAAAGTAATTCATTTTAAAAATTAAAAATTTAATTTAACATCTAGAAAAATATTTATTA